GACATTACATTTGAGAAGCAAAAGGGTGTCCCTGGCTATCTTGAAGCTCTTGATGCCATCTGCGATGCCACAACCGAAGCAATCCAGAACGGGGACAAGGTCCTTGTGCTTTCGGACCGAGCCACGTCGGCGGAGAGAGTTCCTGTCTCCGCTCTTTTGGCCACTGGGCTCGTTCATCATCACTTGGTCCGTAACAAATGGAGATCTCTCGCTGCCATCGTCGTTGAGACCGCTGAGGCTCGTGAGGTACATCACATGTGTGTCTTGGTAGGGTACGGAGCCGACGCTATCAACCCTTACCTTGCAATGGAGTGTATCCTTAAGATGAACCGGGAAAAGCTGATTCGCAAGCAACTCCCTGATGAGAAGGCCATCGAGAATTACAAGGCTTCTTGTGATGGTGGTATCCTTAAGGTCATGAGCAAGATGGGTATCTCCACCTTGCAGTCCTACAAGGGCGCTCAGATTTTCGAAGCTCTCGGTATCGATGATAGTGTCATTGACCGTTGCTTTGCGGGAACTGCGAGCCGCATTCGTGGTATGACTTTTGAGCTTATTGCTCAAGATGCCTTCGCCTTCCACGAGCGTGGATACCCTTCGCGCGAGATTGTCGATATCCCCGGTCTTCCTGAGTCTGGCGAATATCACTGGCGTGATGGCGGGGAAGAGCACATCAATGACCCGGTCAGCATCGCGAACATGCAAGATGCTGTCCGCACCAAGAATGACAAGTCGTATGAAGCATATGCCAAGGCTGAACATGAGCAGATCAAGAATTGTACCCTGCGTGGTATGCTCGACTTCGACTTCGAACAGCGGACCCCCATTCCCATTGACCAGGTCGAACCTTGGACGGAAATTGTGCGTCGCTTCGTTACAGGTGCCATGTCTTATGGATCGATATCCATGGAATCGCATTCTACCTTGGCAGTCGCTATGAACCGCCTTGGTGGAAAGTCGAACACTGGTGAAGGAGGCGAAGATCCCGAGAGAAGCAAGAGATTCGAGAACGGCGATACGATGCGCTCCGCCATCAAGCAGATTGCGTCCGGTCGCTTCGGTGTGACTTCTCACTACCTCGCGGACGCTGATGAGCTACAGATCAAGATGGCACAAGGAGCTAAGCCCGGTGAAGGTGGTGAGCTTCCTGGACACAAGGTCGTGGGCCCTATCGCCCGTACTCGTTACTCTACTCCTGGGGTCGGATTAATCTCGCCACCTCCGCATCACGACATCTACTCCATTGAAGATCTCAAGCAACTCATCTACGATCTTAAATGTTCCAACCCTCGCGCAAGAGTATCCGTCAAGCTCGTGTCTGAGGTCGGTGTTGGTATTGTTGCCTCCGGTGTCGCGAAGGCCAAGGCTGATCATATCCTGATCTCCGGTCACGATGGTGGTACTGGCGCGTCCCGTTGGACTGGTATCAAATATGCCGGTCTTCCATGGGAGTTGGGTCTGGCCGAAACCCACCAGACCCTTGTCCTGAATGACCTGCGCGGGCGTGTTGTTGTCCAGACCGACGGTCAAATTCGTACCGGTCGTGATATTGCTGTCGCTTGTCTGCTCGGTGCAGAAGAGTTCGGATTTGCCACCACTCCCTTGATTGCTATGGGATGTATCATGATGCGCAAGTGCCATTTGAATACCTGTCCTGTTGGAATTGCTACCCAGGATCCAGCACTGAGGGCTAAATTCCAGGGAACGCCCGAGCATGTGATCAACTTCTTTTACTATGTTGCTAACGAGATGCGTGCCATCATGGCCAAATTAGGCATTCGCACGGTCAATGAGATGGTGGGTCGTGCGGAGCTCCTCAGGATCCGAGATGGTATCAAAACCCCCAAACAAGAGAATATTGATCTCTCCCTCATCCTCACCCCGGCTCACTCCCTCCGTCCTGGAGTGGCTACCTACAATGTTCGCAAGCAGGATCATCGCCTCCACACTCGTCTCGATAACAAGTTAATTGCCGAATCCGAGCTTGCGTTGGAGAAGGGCCTGCCCTGTCGTATTGAATGCGATATCGTCAACACGGATCGTGCCTTGGGTGCTACCTTGTCCTACCAGGTCAGTCGCCGCTATGGTGGGGAAGGACTCCCGCAAGACACTATTCACTCGAACATCAAGGGCTCGGCCGGTCAGTCCTTTGGTGCTTACCTTGCTCCGGGTATCACCCTGGAGCTGGAAGGTGATGCCAACGACTATGTCGGTAAGGGTCTTTCTGGAGGTCGCCTAATTGTGTACCCTCCCCGTGGCGCTGCATACAAGGCCGAGGAGAACGTAATTGTCGGCAACACCTGTCTCTATGGTGCTACTCGGGGTACCTGCTTCTTCCGCGGTTTGGCTGCTGAGCGTTTTGCTGTTCGTAATTCCGGGGCTACCGCTGTCGTTGAGGGTGTTGGTGACCATGGATGTGAGTATATGACTGGCGGTCGGGTGCTTGTCCTTGGTTCCACAGGTCGTAATTTCGCCGCTGGTATGTCCGGTGGTATCGCCTATATCTTGGATAAGAACCAGGATTTTCACTCCAAGGTCAACATGGAGATGGTCGAGGTCAGCGGTTTGGAGGACCCCGCTGAAATCGCCTTTGTTCGTGGCTTGATTGAGGATCACCACCACTACACCGGTTCTGAATTGGCCGCTCGCATCTTGCTCGATTTCACCCGTGCTCTCCGCCACTTCGTCAAGGTTTTGCCCATTGATTACAAGCGCATCCTCGAGGAGGAAAGTGCCAAGGCTAAGGCCGCAAAGAAGGCCGAGTTCACTCTGCCTCAGCTTCCGGGTACGCCGGTTTCGGCTGAGAAATCGAAGGCTCAGTCCGAAAAGGATGCGAAGAAGGTTGAGATGCTCGACATCGAAGACAGCATAAGTGACTCGAAGACCGAGAAGAAGCGCTCTGCTCTCATTCTCGACAAGACCAGAGGTTTTATGAAGTATAATCGTCGCAGCGAAAAGTACCGAAACCCAGCTACTCGGACGCGTGACTGGGCTGAGCTTTCTGCCCGACTCAGCGAGGATGAGCTGAAGTACCAGTCGGCTCGTTGCATGGACTGCGGTGTCCCATTCTGTCAGTCTGATACTGGTTGTCCCATCTCCAATATCATCCCTAAGTGGAATGAACTGGTCTTCCAGAATCAGTGGCAAGATGCGCTCAACCGTCTTCTCATGACAAACAACTTCCCAGAATTCACCGGTCGTGTCTGCCCCGCGCCTTGTGAGGGTGCATGTGTCCTTGGTATCAACGAAGACCCAGTAGGCATCAAGTCTATTGAGTGTGCTATCATTGACCGTGGGTTCGAAATGGGCTGGATGGTCCCTCGTCCTCCTAAGACTCGCACTGGTAAGACTATTGCCATTATTGGTTCTGGTCCGGCCGGTCTCGCTGCTGCAGATCAACTCAACCGTGCTGGTCACAGTGTGACTGTCTACGAGCGAGCTGATCGTATTGGTGGGTTGCTCATGTATGGTATTCCCAACATGAAGCTGGACAAGAAGGTCGTGCAGCGTCGTGTTGACCTGATGGCTGCAGAAGGCGTCCAATTTGCCCCTAGCACTCCCGTTGGACCTGAACACGATGTCAGCTTGGAGTCCCTGCGCAAGACCAACGATGCTGTGATCATTGCTACCGGTGCCACCGTGGCTCGTGATTTAAAGGTCCCTGGACGCGAGCTTGAGGGCATCCATTACGCCATGCAATTCTTGCACCGCAACACCAAGTCGCTCCTCGATTCCAACCTGGCCGATGGTGCATACATCTCTGCCAAAGACAAGCACGTTGTGGTTATTGGTGGTGGTGATACCGGAAATGACTGTATTGGTACTTCTGTTCGTCATGGTGCCAAATCTGTTACCAACTTCGAGTTGCTGCCCCAGCCTCCGCCGGAGCGTGCCCGTGACAACCCTTGGCCCCAATGGCCTCGCATTTATCGGGTTGACTATGGTCATTCCGAAGTCAAGACACACATGGGCAAGGACCCTCGCGAATACTGTGTCATGTCTAAGGAATTCGTTGACGATGGCAGTGGTCGCGTTAAGGGTATCAATACTGTTCGCGTGGAGTGGACCAAGGGTGCTTCTGGCGGATGGGACATGAAGACTGTCGAAGGCAGTGAGCAATTCTTCCCGGCCGATCTCGTTCTTCTTTCAATGGGCTTCCTTGGTCCGGAAGATCGCCTCCTAGGAGATGAGATCGAGCGCGATGCGCGTAAGAATGTCAAGACTCCTCCTGGTCAGTACTCCACCAACGTCCCTGGCGTTTATGCTGCCGGTGACTGCCGTCGTGGCCAGTCTCTCATCGTCTGGGGCATCAACGAGGGCCGCCAGTGTGCCCGTGAGGTTGATGCTGCTCTCATGGGCATCAGCTCCCAGCTTCCAGTTACTGGCGGCATCGTTCGCCGTCCTGCTATCGATGCAGTACCCCAGTCGGCCCCACAGACCGTCTCAGCCTAAATCTTGTTACGTATCTCAGTTTCATCATGCTGGGCAGGATCCCGCAGCACAACGACCCAAAGTGAGACTCATGATTACAACGAATCTATGACTGTCGATATTACAAGGCAAAACGGATCAGGCCAAAGCTAAAAGAAAAGTTCGTTGCTTCGGTAAATTAACGTCGGGTGGCTCGTATCCCTATAACTATACATTTTTCTACTATCTTTCCGAGAGACTATCTTGGGGGGCTGGTTGAAGGCTTTTGCTTCACTTCTATGCTTGCCTGAGTTGTGCAGCGTTCTTTTCATCATCAAAATGTTGTGTAAGGTCGGAGCGTTTGTCATTCTGTGCGACTTTCTAGCTGCCTGTACATATTCTATTCACGTCAATATCAATCTGATGATCTTAAGTGACTTGGCACAGTATGATAGTGTTTGTATTCGAGTTCAAAATCGTGTAAGCTGGTAACAAATAAGGTCTACTAGCATTACAAAATATATGAAGACAAGCCTTGACGACATCCACCAGCAGTCTACCCATCTCATTCCTCGGGAACTTGGCTTCAATCAATCCTCGTTGTCGTCCTCATCATAGTAATTTTCATCATCGTCGTCGTCCGCATCCTCTGTCTCAATCTCTATTTCCTCACCTTCGTTCCCGCCCCAATTCTCGTCCTCGACGCCCTCTCGTCTACGGCGAGGAGGGTGGTTCTTCAAGTCCTCGTACCCAAGCTTGATCCGAGCCGCAATCCCAGTCATACTGTCCGACTTCTTCCCCATCTTTTCCACCCGTCCACTGACAACGGTACGGTCAAAGCCGCGTAGGCGATTCTGCCAATCATGAGGACCGCCACCACGATAGGTTGAACTGAAACCTGCAGTCCTTCGCTCAGTCCGAGTGCTTCTGGGCCCACGACCGCGGCCGTACCGATACGCGTAGAAATGAACATCCCCATTCGCCAGGCAATGAGCGGAGCGCTCGTGGTGTCTCCCATACCGTCGCAGCATGTCCGCCTGCCGCTCGTCCTCCTGGAACAGCGCATCGAGGTATTTCAAGCCTTCGTCGATCTCAAAGAGATGCTGCAGGCACTGCTGACTCGTGGCCTCCAGGATTTCATGGCATGCGGTGAGCTCGCGATCGGCGAGCTTCATCATGGCCCAGAGATTGCTCTGCAGGGTCTCCCTGTCGGTCCTGGTTGGGGGTTTCAGGATGGAAGGGGGCTGCGGGGACTGGGAACGGAGACGGCGGGGGAAAGGAGGCGGAGGCATCAACTTAGCATCCGTGGGGATGGGGGGAGGAGATGGGGGAGGAGATGGGGGAGGAGGAGGAGGAGGAGGAGGAGTAGGAGGAGGAGCGCGAGTCTCCTGAGGGAGGTCTGACAGGGGAATCGGATCATCAGCGGGGATGACGGTTGCTGTTGGCTGCCTCCAGGTCACGACTTTGCGATATCGAGGGTGGTAGTAGAGGGGGTCGTGGGCGGTAAAAGGGTGGTACTCGACCTCGTCATGAGGGCCATTGGTTGCATCTCTATATTGTGCAACGTACGCGGTAACCTCCTCATGATGCGATGAATGAAATGTGCTGTGGGAGGGCTGTGCTTGCGTGTGAGATGGCAATGGGGTATTTGGCGTTGTTGGCGTTGGTGTCGTTGTTTCTGCTGCTGCTGAACTTGAAGGTCCAGAAAACGCACCTCGCCTGGCTCTGTTTTGGCCTGATTGCTCGGTCAGCTTGTCCATCTTGCGATTCAAGATTGTGAAGGGATTATGAAGTCGCTGCTCGATTGTGGACGGGCGAGTCTAAATTTCGTTGTCGAGAAGTGTAGTGCAATGTTTAGGAAGAAACAGCAAATTTGAAGGAAAGAAAAGGCGCAGGCTGACCCTTTTGAGGGATTTCATCCTCATATCAATATTCCTTTCAAGAAATCCTGGAAAACAAAGGTTTGTTTGATTGACAGAGAGATCTCACAGACCAGACCTCCGCGATTTCGAGAACAATGGCGGTCTCCTTTGATCTGCACACCAGTCCTCAAAGAGACCAAAAAAGAACCCCCAATTGTCTAGCCAGATCATTGACATCCTTTTGATTGATCTGAATATGACTATCGTACAATATCCCCCAGGGACAGGTATCGTATTGGAAACTAACATGAAGATCAACCGAGTCTAACATGCACGTTCATGGAAATGGACAGGAAATTTTTACACGGGCAAAGAAGAATGGGCCAGATGAGGAAGGGCTTTCACCGTCTAGTATCTTTCTTTCATGACGATGCTGACGACGCCTCTGCTGTTGCTGATGCCGCCGCCGCTTTCTGGCTGGCCGCTGCCGCTGCTGCGGCCTCCTCGGCAGCCTTCACCTCCCTCTCGAGCGCGGCGAAGTCGCCATTAAAGCACTCGCCGATAGATTCCGTGCGCACATCCCAGACATCCTCACTGCTGGGCCCTGTCTTGTACTTGATAGCCTTCTTCCGGTAATGATCCCGAATCGCCTCCTTGCGCCGTTCGTCACCCCAGGTGCGGGTCTTCATGCACAGCCAGAAATTACTCCAATGCTCGCTGCAAGACCGCAGCTCGCCGTATCGGTAGACGTTGACAAACTGGCCACCGAAAGATTGACAGAAAAAGGCGTAGTCGAATGCCGAGCGGCAAGACATGGTATCGGGATAGAGAGAGTCGGGGGCGATCGAGTTCGGGGGAGCATGAGGATTAGAGGATGATGTATCGAGAGAAGGTGTTTCGGGAGTCGAACGCCGTTTATCGTGTGATTTCTGGCTAATATCGCCCTCGAGACTAGCGATTAACTTCTTCCATTCGGCGTCGGCTTGCTCTTCGCGAGTTAATGTTGGGGGGTGATCCGCTTGTGCTGATGAGGACGGCGTAGATGCATGTGCTGTGTGTGCAGATGGTAGACCGGAATCAGGAAGACCAGATGAAGCAGGAGGCGGGGTTTGAGACTCGCCCTCCTTGGAAGGGGTTTTCCACAACCAGCCCATGGTGACGCTGGCCAATACCAAAAAAGTTGTTGTTTGAGGCGGTTGAATTGGCTGAACCTCGGATTTGAATCAAAGGGACAAATGCGAGTCGATGGAGTCTGATTGGCGATAGTGCTGTAATTTATCGAAGACATAGTGTGACCGTACCGGAGCGGGGGCCGCACGGCTGCCCTGCAACACGGTCGTTACAAGCTGTATTTCGCAGATAATGAAAGCTCCCCAGCTACGTCATAGGATGCTCTCGATAAACCAAGAACCCAGCCATGAAACCATTGCTCCTACACATCTCTTGCGTCGCTGAGATGATGCGAGCTCCGGTGCATATCGTGAGGCCATGGGGCTACCGAGCCCATGTGCGTCCCAATGGGTTCTCCATTCCCTCTTCAAAAGGGATCCTCGCCAGACTGAACAGTAGCTCTTCTCATATTAGCACTGTCGAAACAGGTCATATTGAAGTGAAGGACGGTGAAGGGCTTATTTTCGTGAACAGTATGATATATTGACTTCCAAGTCTCAAGCTAATACCAATTCATGCTGATGCACTCATTATACAGATATCTTTCCTTCGCGGTTACAATGGCTACTACAAGGGCCTCTTAGCGGTGGTCGGTCATACGAACAAGTACTGAAACGTATCGACAGACCACACCTAGCGGCTTCTGATCCTTTACACATAATACGTCGCGTCTTTCCTCAAACATTGGACATCGATATCCGGGAGGTTATCCCCCGTTTCAGAGAAGGCGGCGCATTTGTGAAGTATAACCGCAAGGATGGACTCAAGGACTTGGACATCGTAACCGCGATACAGAATCACCTCAAAGAACACCCTATCAGGCCATGGTTCAATCCGTTTCAGGAGGTCAACGTGGCCCATGTTCATGGCAGGCCCTGGATTGAGGACCTATACCGCATTCCCACCCCACGGCTGAGAGTGGAATTCCTGCCTGCTTCCTCTGATGGAACAGCAGGAGAACCGACCACCGAGGCTTTGTACAGTGTGTTTCGCCGGTACGGCAAGCTAAGAGACATCGAAAGGCAGCCGTCCGATTCCAAAGTCACGCCCAGATATGCGTTCATTGTGTTCTCCCGCGCAAGGAACGCCGTCATGGCTAAGAACTGCGTGCACGGCTTCACCATTCCGGAGCATGAAGGTGGTGGAAAGTCCGGCACCAGGATCAAGATCAAGTATGAAGCCAACATCAAGTTGTCCATGATCAAGGACTGGCTTTTGAATCATCCAAGGATTGTGATTCCCATTATTGCCGCCCTCATCGCAGCCATCACAGTAACTGTTTTTGACCCAATTCGAACGTTCTTCATTGAGATGAAGATCAAAGCGACCTTGCAAAAAGAAGAAAACAGCATCTTGCGGTGGATCAGAAACCAGGTGAACAAAGCCAATATCATCTATTTCGGCCGCCGCGGATCTGATCCGCGCCGGCTCACAGCTATCTGGGAAGATCGTCAAGGTGATATCGCTCAGCTACAGTCGTGGCTGATGGAGAACGCTGAAACGTTCATCGTCATTCACGGACCTCGCGGGACCGGAAAGCGAGAGCTTGTTCTGGATCGCGCCCTGGAAAACTACAGGTACAAGGTTGTCATCGATTGTAAGCAAATTCAGGATGCAAAAGGTGACACGGCGAAGATTTCTCGTGCTGCTAGCCAGGTAGGATACCGACCGGTCTTCTCCTGGATGAACAGCATGAGCAGCTTTATCGATCTGGCCGCTCAAGGTATGATTGGCACGAAAGCCGGGTTTTCAGAGACCTTGGATGCTCAGCTCAGCAAGATCTGGCAAAATACTGCCACTGCCCTCAAGAAAGTTGCATTGGAGAACAAGAAGAACGATGAGAAAGAAGCCCATCTAAGTGATGAGGAATACCTTGAGGCTCATCCAGAGCAGAGGCCCGTGGTGGTTATCGATAATTTCTTGCACAATTTCTCCGAGGACAGTGTAGTCTACGACAAACTCACCGAATGGGCCGCTGGTTTGACCACTGGGAATATAGCGCACGTCATCTTTCTCACCACAGACGTCTCCTTCTCCAAGCCATTGAGCAAGGCTCTACCCAACTCCGTGTTCCGGACCATTTCCTTGGGCGACTGTTCACCGGAGGTAGGAAGGAAGTTTGTGCTCAGTCATTTGGAGTACGAATCAAAGACTGGCACGAAACAGACTCTCGACCTCGGTAACCTGTCAGACTTGGACAGCTGTATACAGGTACTGGGAGGCCGGGTCACTGACCTTGAATTCATGGCACGGCGGATCGAAGCTGGAGAGTCCCCTTTAGGTGAGTACGAGGCTGCCAATGCATGAACAAGGTCAGCAATTAACTCATAGAATCAGCTGCCGTCACCCGCATAATCGAACAGTCAGCCTCCGAGATCTTGAAGATGTTCATCTTGGGTAGTGACACAACCTCCAAGTCGTGGACACAGGAACAGGCATGGCATCTAATCAAAACACTTGCTAACGCCAAGGATGCGGCACTACCTTACAACCAGATCCTGCTATCCGACCTCTTCAAGGACAACGGTGAAGCATCCTTGCGTGCTCTTGAGCAGGCGGAGTTGATTTCTATCAACTCAGTCAATGGTTGCCCCGATGTGGTCAAGCCTGGCAAGCCTGTGTACCGGGCCGTTTTCAAGCGTCTCACCGAGAACAAGACCTTGAGCAGCCGCCTAGATCTCGAAATTCTCAAACAGCTCATTAGTGTCGAGAACAAAAGTATAAGCAAGTACGAGGAGGAGTTGCAACTTCTAGGGACGCTGCCCAAACAACCTTGGGAGCTCGCCAGCCGGATCAAGTGGCTCTTAGGTAAGGTTTATAGCTCACAAAACAAGGTAAGTAAGTATGAAGCAGAGAGCGCGACCTTGCAGAAGATTCTGCGGCGGGAACATTGAACAGGTGCAGTGGAAAGTCGGCCTGCATTATGATTGCATTGATATGTAGTGTACATAATTTCGAATGTTAATGAACAGGGAATGATCTGTCAAGTCTACTTTCAGCCGCAAGCCTCCGTAGACCTATCGCACAGTGAAAAGATCGCAGGAAGATGCATCCTTCTTGAGACTGAATCAGAACTGCCTCAGACCAAGTCGAGCTCCAATTCAGATTTGATGGATCAGCTTTTAGCCGTCGAGTCAACCAGTTGTTGGTTGAGCCTTCGAGAATAGTAGATATCGCCCCGAAAACAAGGCAGGAAGGGGAGTTCTGCTGAGATAAGCAACGGTAATTTTACCGTATTGTAGCCCAACTGCATCTGCGAGTCAACCTACTACATCTTTGCATAAATCTCCGCGCTCTGAAACAGCGCCAGGTTGCGAAGTTCCCTCTTCGTTTATGCTTCATATGAGATCTGATATTGTTTTGAGAGGTTAAGCTATTCTTCTGGTTTTGCGCATTGTATGACCATCGTGTGGACGGTCGGTCTATTCAACCCCTGTCCCGGTCTGCACCAGCACTTTTCTTGAGGGGCATCCGCCCTTGTGCTTGGGAAATGGAAGGATATGATTCAGCCCCCGGGGGGCTTATTCGCCTGGCACTCGATGGCTTCAATAGCGTGGGGTGGCCTACGTGGGTGGCTCTCCTGGTGTCCGTTTGCGTGGCGACTCGCCTCATCAGCGGACTGCAAAGTCGCCTCGGTAGTGGAACCGAGGCGGGACCGACACGCTCGGTTCGGATGGTGCCTTACTGGCTCCCTTGGATAGGCCATGGTATATCCTTCGCCCGGGACC